AAAAAAAAATCTTCCGCCATCACCACAAAAATTCTTTTTCAGACCAGCAGCTTCAACAGCCCCTGCTGCCCCGTCCCACAGGAAAGGGAGGATCGGGCACCTGGGCACCGTGGTGGCTGCTGAGGGGTTTGGGTCCCGCCTGGCTCAGCTGAAGAAAGGCGATGCCTCCGAAACAGGAGCCACAGGGTGATCTTCCCACGCAGGGGGTCCCTGGCTTGCTGGGTGATTATCCACGCTCTTCTGCTGAGTTTGCAAGGTGGTTGGCTGGTTCATTCTTATCTTAAAGTCCCTTTTGTTTTGGTGCCACCTGCAATTGAGGCAAAACTTCAAAGTCATGTATCTAATTAGGATCATAGAAGGAATCTTACAGAAGCACCAAGGAGTTGCTTTAGTATCTGAGGTTATTCAGATAGGGGATAAATTCAAGTTTCAGTAGTTCCATTTCAAACACCCTTCTAGGGCGCTGCCCCAGAAGACACCAGTCCTAGAGCCACAACCAGGTGGCACCTCACAGGGGGGACCCCTTTGAGGGGTATTAGGATGAGCTGCTTTTACAGCGTGGGGCTGGGTTTGAACTGGGGACCTGCTGCTTCCCAGGCTGGCGCTTTTGCCCCTGAGCCACGTCCTGCCGCAGAGGAGCTGCTGGGGGTCCCCCTGGGGTGGGGGACGTGGCGCAGGGGGCTCCGTGTCCGACTGTAGCCCTGAAGGTCGGCGGTTCAAATCCAGGCAGCTGCAGGTGGCAACATCTGTCCTTATCTGTGATCAAGAACCCGCAAAACCTTTGAGGTTAAAGGGGCCTCTTAGAGATCATCTACGCCCCCTGCCAGGAACACCAGAGCACTTGGCACACGGTCAAATCCAGGTGCATTTTGAAGACCTCCCTGGTTTGATGCCAGAGCTTCCTTTCCATCATTTCAGGAAGGATCATTCATCACAGGAGTCATTTCAGGAAGGATCTCATTTTCCAGTTAGAAAAAAAAAATCCCAACTAATTATTTGCAGCTTAAATTGACAATTATTCCCACAGGAGAAACTAGACAACCTGGTATGACCATTCTAGCAGTTTATTTCGATGCATGCATGTTGTTATAAACATGTGGAGTAAAAATACTAAAGTTTGATTTCATGTTTAGCAAAAGAACATCAAGTAATCTCCAAAACTGAACAAATAAGACAACCTTTGCTCTGTATTTCTTCTTTTCATGAAGAAATTTTAGGAAAGAAGGTAGAAAAAGAGGGGGCACCCGGATTTGAACCGGGGACCTCTTGATCTGCAGTCAAATGCTCTACCACTGAGCTATGCCCCCGTGGCTTCAGTGTGGTACAAGCAGCTGTGAAAACAATATATATTTAGGCAAATTTTGTGTCCTCTGGTTGGATTATTTCTTTTGGCATGTTAGTACTCACATGTTAGTAGAGAATATAACTGCAGATAATCAACATTGTATCTGCACATATTCCTCCAATGTAGTTACTCACACAATCTAGACCCCCTGCCGTTCCCTAGTGATAAATATTCTATTATTATGGCCAAACCATTAATATTTCTTTACTTAGTGACATAGACACTGATTTTGACAGCAAATGTTTGGGCAAGGCTCAGTATATTTAATAGTGGAGTTCACGTACCAGTGCTGTTTGCAAACCACAAGTTCAGTATGTCTAAAAATAAAGGAAGGCCCTTGGATTTTTCCCCAAAAAGTAGGACACAGGGGGCACCTGGACTTGAACCAGGGACCTCTTGATCTGCAGTCAAATGCTCTACCACTGAGCTATACCCCCTTGCTGGGGCACATAAACAAGCAAACAAAACAACATTTAAAAATAAATTATTCCCCAGGCATCTCCCTTCTATAGGAAACAAGGGACTCCCGTGAGGGGAAGGTTGTTCACAAGCCTGAGTGCAAGAGGGACCAGTACATGGAAAGTCCATAGAATTCAGAAAATGAGACCAAATCTGCCCCTTTTTTAAAGAAATTCTCCTGATTAAGAAAGGATCTTGGCCAGGTGCTTTTCCATCTATGTCAGTGTTTCCTCTTGCAACTGCAGTTTGTTTTTGTTCGATGAGGCCAAGTCTTGATCTGCAGTCACAAGTTATTTGGCATAGCACCAAGTTATTTGATGTAGCTCCTGCCTCCCGCTCTCTGTTCGGAATCCTGCCCGGGATGTGTGAAGTTTTCCTCTAAGGCACCAATAGTCGAGCAGGAGCCGAGGTGACCTCCGAGGTGCTAGTGAGAAACTGCCTGTTGGGTTTAGTCCAACAAGACAAATATATTTATTGGGGGAAAACATTTTTTTAGCCTCTGAAAAATAAAAAGTTTCAATCTGTGCTTGCTAGGAATGCTGTGAACATGGAAAAATTACGGAAAAAACAGTACATTTGGAGGGGGCACCCGGATTTGAACCGGGGACCTCTTGATCTGCAGTCAAATGCTCTACCACTGAGCTATACCCCCGGTTGTAGTGCAGTTTCCCGTACAAATCATTTAATTATTAACTAATATTTACAGCAACTATTTGAAAACCACCTCTGGGACAGAGTGTTTCTTACAAAATGCTCATATTCCTGTTCACAACCTCTCATACATTAATCCACTTCTGTTAACAATCCGCTTTTTTCTAGACACTGTGTGATCAAAGAGGCCATACCCTACAGGCAGGTTTTATGGGAGGGAAAATATTTAAATAAATAAAAAGACCCTCCAAAACTACTTTTCCTGAGAAAAAGAGGGAAAAGGGGAGGGGGCACCCGGATTTGAACCGGGGACCTCTTGATCTGCAGTCAAATGCTCTACCCCTGAGCTATACCCCCAGCTGGGCAGGAGCTGCAGGTAGGGCCAGTTCCCGGGAATGACGCTCTCCCGGAGCCACATTCCGCTGCCTTTGCTCCCTGCACCTGCAGCAGTTTCTCTCGCAGAGAATATCCTCCTAATTATCCTTCATTTCATAAAAGCCCTCAGGCCTCTTGCCCCGTATCGAGGTTACGGAGCCCAAGCTAAGGAATTTCCTGAAGGAATTCTGGTAAAAGGAAATAAATGGTTCAGAAGCAGCGGCCAGCAAAGCTGGCACTTGGCGAGGCCTGTGTTTGGTCTCGGGGTGTGCCCTGCGTGGGAGGGCACAGGAGCCACACGGTCATACCCAGCAGAAGCAGGGCCTGCCCCTGCCCCTATGCAGGGGCAGGAAAAGCAGCACCTGAAACCCCTCATGCCCCACCAGGCTGGAGGAGAAACAGCAGGGCCCAGCATGGGGCTCGTATCCAGGCCACCCATCTTAGGGTGCTCCAAGTGCTGCAGGGGCTGTTAAAGCTCATCCAAGGCCCGATGCACTTGGGAGCTCCCCAGAGAATAAATGAAATTAGCTCCCTGCCTAAGCACAGGGAAACATCAAATCTCCCAACCTATTTCTAGAGCAGGTGGTAGAGCAGGAGCCCAGTACTGCATCAGCAGATCACAATCCAGAACTGAGCACAAGCTGTTAAAATAGAATGAGGGAGAACGCTTGTTTTAGTGTTCATTTCTTACTCGGAAGCTGTTACCTCCAAATCTTTCCAGGGCCTGAGGAACAGCTCCGTCATCATCGTGGGTTGAAAAGATGGGTCACTTCTCCACAAGCGGATGACTTCAGCTGGAGGTTTGGAGCATTGCGGCACCCACTGCCTCCTTTAGAAGGTTCAGATCTGCTAGGAAGAAGCCACAACTGCTAAACTGCTCCAGGAAGGGGCCTATGGAGAAGAGCCGCTCTCGGTTCATGCAAGTCCTTCCTCATATCCCCCCTCCCAGCTGCTGCAAGGGCACAGCTCAGCTGTGGCCAATTTAGGCAGCTGAGAAACAGCTTTTAGGCCACAGCATTTTGCAGTCATCCTGGTTATGTCAGAGAGCTGTTTAGGAAAAAAATCCCATTTTTTTGGTGTTTGACCTCAGATAACTCGGGCACAGAGAGCAGGAGAGGCCACGGAGGGCACAGCAGAGCCTGGGGACAGTCCCTGCCAGCCACTCTGCTCTCCAGGTAGCCACCTCAGTGGCCACCTGGCTGGGAGAGGAGCCCTGACCCACCTCCTGCTAGGAGCACAACTGTCCTTTATCAGCAGTATCACAATGGGCTAAAATCCCTGCTGGAATGTTGGTGGAAAAATGAGCTGCTGAGCAGCTTATATCCCGATACCTTCCTGGCTCTGCTTTAGCTAGAAAGGAATGAGAGCAACAGCAGGAAAAGCATCAGCAACTTTACACAACACAGGAGGTTTTTGCAACATTCAGGGTAAACCTACCTTGCAACTCTGATCTTGAAGCTTTCCAGCTGGTCTTGAAAACTCACATCTCCCTTCTGTGCTTGCAATTAGCATCACTGACCTGGGCCTTGTTTCACTACTGATTGAGGTTGAGGGCATGTAATGAAGCCACCACCTGAGCAAACAGCAGTGGGCTTGCTGTGTCCTTGCAAGTCTTGAGCAAGGTCCAAAAGAAGCAGTCCTTAGAGCCTAGCGACCAGAACGACAACAGCTCATGGTATATTCAGTTTTAGGCCACACTTTTCCCACCCAAAATACTATGTCCAAGTAATTAAATCACTCCTTCTGGGGCAGGGGGAAAATAAAAAATAATTCAAGTTTACAGATCTGTAATTTAACAAATCCCATACAAAGGAATTTCCTAGAAGATGTTCCATAGACAGTTCCCAGTTTCCATCCTTGCCCATCCAAGTTGGATCAATTTGTACCAGTGCAACCCCCTTCCCAATGCAATTTTTCCAGGATATAGAACATGTCCCAGAAATGACTAATCACTACATAGGAAACTCCAGCCTCGTTTTCCTACTGAAATATGCACCCATGCAGAAAGTTCTTTAGCAAAATTCACCAGAACTGGAGAATCTCCCTCACTGTAGCATTCAGTCCTTTGCCTTAAGCTTAAAAATGGCAAGACAGACACTACGTATTTGACATGAGCACTTTTATTTTATCTCTACAAAGAAGAGCACGGTTATGCGATGCTTCCTGCGTTGGACGCTATCCTGGGCCACAGATCTGCACATTCCTTAGCCACGGGGCCTGTGATCGCAGAACCTGGGGAATTAAAAAAGCAGAGAACACGTTAGAGAGCTGAGCAAGTGAGCAGTGGTGTAAAGTAATATTTAGTACAAGCAGATCAGCCTGATGGTGCTCCTGGACATAAGTCACCAAGTCCATCTGTGCAGGAGAGTGGAGCTCTCGATGCAAAACGCCAACGCACTCCTGCTCATCCCACCTTGGCCCACTTCAACAGGGGTCTTCTCCATACCTTTCATTTCTCCTTTATTATTTACTATCACTCCTGCGTTGTCCTCAAAATAGAGGAACACGCCGTCTTTTCTTCTGTACGATTTTCGCTGCCGAATCACGACCGCCGGGTGCACTGGAAAGGAAACAAGTGGCTCAGGACCCCAACTGTCCTGCTAAGCCCAGGCCAGGAACAGAAGCCCCCGAGGAAACGCTCTGCTCCCAACTCCATGTGTTTTTCTGCACACGCAGGACTTCAAATCACGCACGGCACCTCAGCTGGGTTTAGGGAAAGCTGCAATTTGGACACAGTGCATAACCCAAAAACACAGCACTTCAGCCACCCCTACATTTGCACAATTCAGTGTTTTCCCAGCTTCCCACTTCAATTTCTGAGCATAAGGCCCACTCACAGGCAGTATTGAGCAGAGACCCCCTTCTGCCCGCGCGCCAAGGCGCAATGTCACCCCACTGATTGAAATGAACAGCACAGGCTGCCACTTCACCCAAAAGCGGCGTCTTTGCTGTGCCCTTCCACGACAACTCCCTGAGCCACTGAACGCAGACCCAGCAAGTGCTTTTCAGAAGGGCGGAGCAGCCCCCGGACTCATCCGACCCCTGTCCACGAGTTGATCCGCGCTTCCCCGTGCTCCCGGGAAGCAGCTCCGCGAGGCCCCGCGGCTCCCTCCGCGCTCACCCTTCTTCCGCAGCTCGGGCTTGCCCTTCTTCACCGTGGCCATGACCATGTCGCCCACGCCGGCGGCCGGCAGCCTGTTGAGGCGCCCCTTGATGCCCTTCACGGAGATGATGTAGAGGTTCTTGGCGCCTGCGAGGGAAGCCACCGTGTCAGCCCAGCTGTCCCCACAGCAGCTCCCACCACAGGGACTTCTTTTTGTCGTGACACCGATCGGAGCCCAACAGCACAGGCTGCTTTACCCTCCCACCAGGCCACCAACACGGGCTCGGCAAGTGCTTTTCAGAAGGAAAAACGATTTTAATGTCACAGCTGCATTAAACTGCTGCAGAACACAGGAAAAATCCACGGCGTTGCCAAAGAGCCAGCGGTTCTCCGCGTTATCCTGCTCCCCCTCGAACATGGTGGTTTTGGGGCTCAGTTCTGCCCCGCCGGACCCCCGCTCTTAACCCGAACCCCCCGGAGAGGCGGCGCGGCGCTCACCTGTGTTATCCGCGCAGTTGATCACGGCTCCCACCGGGAGACCGAGGGAGATACTGAATTTCGCCCCGGAGGAGCCGCCGCGTCCTGACGGGTAGCGAGAAACCCAACGTGAGCGGGAAGGCGCG